TACGCAGAGGATATTTTACCTCTGTCTTTCTAATTCTTATGCTTCTAACTGTTTTTTTTCTCTTGGCTGACTGCATTATCCAGGAGCTCCAACACAATGGTTTTTTTTTTTTTAATTTTTATTGAAGTACAGTCAGTTTACAACACTGTGTCAATTTCTGGTGTGCAGCACAATACTTCCGTCATATAGAACATACATATATTTGTTTTTATATTCTTTTTCACAATAGGTTACTACAAGATATTGAATATAGTTCCCTGTGCTGTACAGAAGAAACTTGTTGTTTATCTATTTTATATATAGTAGTTAGTATCTGCAGATCTCGAACTCCCAGTTTATCCCTTCCCATCTCCCTTCCCCTCTACAACAATGTGAAATAGCGGTAAAATAAAGGTCGTGGACGTCTCTGTTTTTCTCCTAACTTTAATAAGAAAGCGTCTAGCCTTTTCCCAGAAGTAAGTACTTGTTTCAGGCTGTGGCATGGGCATTTTTTTATAGTAAGGAATTAGTTGTTAATTCCTTTTTTAAAGAGTTTTGATCATGAATGTGTATTGTACATTGTCACATGCCTTTTCTGCATCAATGGACATGATCGTATGATTTTTCTTCTCAGCCCTTATGCCAGTTCTTAAGCTACTCATTCTCAGTTGCAAAAGCCTCGCTCCTACACTTCGTGTTTCTTGCAGCAAATGCGGACGCCTATCGTGCACTGCCCCCTAGAGTTAGCTAACTTCAGAGATGTTTTTCTAGTCTCCCCAGCTGTGTAACAGCAGTTCCTATTTTGCACATTTTATTAAACATCTCCACAGGGTTAAGCTGAATGAACTTGAGGTAGCAGACACTCAACATGTAGTGCCGACAGCCGCTAGCCCTGCCCATCACTGCTGTGGAAAATCGTGAGTGGCTTTTAACTAAATACGCTGCTGCTGGTTCTGACCTGGAACGCTGAAATCACCATACCTGAGGCCAGAGAGAGATCATTCCGTGCAAATGTAAAACTGTCATGTAAATATTAGTTCTTCCCGACAACTATAAGAACTCCTTCTATTCTTCCTAAAATCCCCTTCCTCGGGAATAGTCGCTGTAAGTAGTAAATACTCTCATCAGTAGAAAAAGAATTGATATGATTTGGCAATGTCCTGATTCAGAAAAAGAAGGATCGTGTTCCCAGGAAAGTGCATCCATTTACAAATAGCCAGACTTCCCACCGACCACCCCAAGTCTGCTGTTTTCTCCTCAGGCAGAAATGAGAGGGCTGGGGAGGGGAGCGCTCACGGCACCTCAGACCCTCCATCTCGAAGAGGGAGCTGACTCCCCTCTGAGGTACAATGACACTGTGCTTTAGGAAATGCTAGAAGCAGCAGTCTCCCCAGTTCACAAAATTTCACACATGAGGAAGAATAGCACATATACACACTAATATCCACAGGTAACATCAAAGAAGATCACAACTCTTGACTCATCACAGACTCTCAGCCACTCACCTCTGGACCACAAGAAGAAATGAAGGAAGGGAAGGCTGGGGCAGACTGCCAGGGCCAGGGCTTCAGGCAGGGAAAGCAGCTGAGAAAACGTGCTTAAGTGGTGGGCTCGTGGAACCGGCAGGGTGAGGACTGATTGCAAAGACGAGGGGAAGGAACGTTCCTCCTTTAACCTCTCCTCTTCTTCAGTCCCTAATCCTTGCTGTAACATGGAGATCACAGAACAGAGCTTCAGGTAACTAAGATGTAAAATATGAGAAATTACCGCAGCTTGCACAGGTGCCCAGATCTAAATTAACTAACACTTAGATTTTTGCAAAAGTCCTCGCATTTTCACAGTTAGCCAGGTACCAGGTTGCTCTCTCACATCTGAGAACGTATTTAAAGAAAGATATTATATTTCCCTCTTTTGTATTTTTAGAGAGAATTTGGAAAAGGTCTCTTTTAACTAATTTAAAATTGTTCGGAGTGAGAGATATAACAGAGACATAGGAGACTCTAACCAAGTGAGAGAAAGAATCGAGTCTTTTCTCAAACTTTTATTTTCTCAGAACATAGTACAGAGTCACACAATGACCCTGCTAGACCCCTTACAGGTGAGGAGACTGAGGAAGGGAGCTCCAGGTACTTAGAGCAGTAAGACAGTCATCATTGGAAAACTATGATTTGTTTATTTTAAAGCTATGATTTTTTTCGATTTTTTTCTTTTTTTTTCTTTTTTTTTTTTTCTCTTCACCTTTCTGTATGTTCTATCTTCCTTTAATTTAACATAAGGAATTACTTTGTATTAAGGGAAATGCGGGAGAAAAAGTTCAGACCACATGGGGGCAGTACGTCCATTGACAGAAGTGACTGGCTGGAAATTAGAACTGGGTGAATGGGGGCAGCAGCAAAGAGTACATTCAATGATGTGTTCGTGCCAAGTGAGATTCTGATTGGCAGTGAAAACAGAAGGAAGATCACCGGGGCTTCCAAAGTAAAAGAAGCAGAGGCTGGAACAGCGGACTAGGCCCGCTGAACATGCTCAGTTTCAGGCTGAATCCTCGGAGACTCCAGGAAGCAGCAGGAATGGAGCCCCACCGGCGAGCTTCCCTGATGCTCCTGTGTGTGCAGCTTAGCTGTGAGTTAGCATGGAGGGCAGTGAATGGAGAGGGCCAAGCAAGGGAAATGGGGCAATT